TTTCGAATTCTCTAAACCACAATCAACAGCATAATTTTACAATCCGTAAAAAAATCATAAACGAAGGTAAAAAATAAAAGGTTTGAGGTGTTTTTTCTTGAATTTATACATATATATATATATATATATATATATATATATGTGTGTGTGTGTGTGTGTATAAGGCGCGTCCGTATCGACCACTGGTTGTAGGAAGGTTTGTGAGAATAGTAAGGGTTGATATAAAGTAAATCATTACATTTACATATTACATTATATACTTATAATAATACATATAAATCTAAAAATTATGAAAATAATCTAGTTACGGATAATCGTATTAAACTCGTAGGTATTCAAAAATATTACGTCAAAATATCAGTCTAAAATGTATATTTTACAAATAATTTAGTTTATTATTAAAAATAATTTAATTATTTTTTATAGTTGTGTCAATAATAATTTATTCTTCAGCAAAGAAAAGAATTTGTTCTCGTGCGAAAACGAAACGCATGCGTAGGGTGATCATAAGTCTATTATCTGGTGGAATAAAGCTTGTTAATTAAAATTTCTTCTTGTTCCCCCCCCCATAAAGCCAAGTTTTGTGATGTTGTTCCTCTGAGGAAAAATTAAGGAGGTGCCGGCTTTAATCCATCGCGAAGTATTCTTGACAAACTTAATCATCCGGACGATAGGAGGCCGGTAAAAGTTTACACCCATACTAAATATTTAAGAGAAATAATTAAGTTTGACACGAAATAACCTGTAATCAGAGTTTGTTCTCCTGGTATGAGGCTTTAGGAGACCCGTGGGACCAAAGGCCAGTCCACCCCCGAGATTTACCCCCTGCGTTCGGCTATTACAAGAGAAGAAGTTTTGCCCAGGGTCGGGGTGTTTTTGGAACTGGTGAAATTTTAATAGCCGGCCTTGTTACATTATCTTCTCAGATCTTCCATGGGAAAGTTGAAGGTAAAGCGAAGACAATCTTCCAGGATAGAAATGGAAACAATAAGAAAAACATAAACTTGGGGGCGAACGGGTTGTAGGTCGAGTATCGGGGGGTAATTAAAGTTGAAAGAGGGCGAGAGTTGAAGGGGCTACTGCAGTGCGTAATGAGTCCTTCAATTATGAATGACTCTCTCTCCTGTTTGCCTCCTTTCTCATTCTCAGTTCTGGGAAAAGCTCTTCTTCAAAACACCTACGAATATTTAAAACACGAAAAACTGAACAAAAATTAAGGTCCTTCAGCTGAAAAACACTTTATTTGTGCACTCAGACCGTACAATTTTGTATTTTTTGTATTTTCTTTTAAAATAATGGTTTTCCTCAAGGTCAACCGAAGAAATCCTGCTAGCTAAAATAATATCAATTTTCGAAAGTGTTTTGTTTTTATAAATTATTCATTATAAAAGCAGCATTATCTTACTATATAAAAAAGTAGTTTAGTCCTTTCCAATCATTTCGATCAACCAATGTTTATTGCTATAGTCTGTCACCCGCGTGATAACACCTCGCAATCCTCAGGTATACCCAAATGAATCGACCACTGCTTATAGGGATATGCATTAATGCTATCCCTCAACCAAAACGGATGAGATAGGTCAAAAGGTTAACCATACACCAACCCCCGACAAGAAAACAAAATTGAAAAACAACGAGTTTTAAGATTATAAAATCTTTTCGCAGAAACTAATAACTATGAAACAATTAAACTATATTAGAAATGTTGAAGATGGGATGAGTATGTAGATTGACGTTTTGTAAATCATGTTTCTACTCACAGATTTGTAAACAACAAATCTGTGAGTAGAACCATCATTTAAAAAAGTCAATAAAACAATCTTTAGAATTTGTTTGTTGTATCTCTGTCCGATAACTGGTAATAAAATACAATTGGCTTAGTGTAAGTCAGGCACGAAAATTGCAAATGTTTTCAAACTTCTTTGTCAGAAAATCTACCAGGTTCTTTACAACAAGAATTCAGCAGTGATTCCACAGATACCCACTGAAACACCGAATACATGACAAAATGTAGCTATTTTACAAATTTTAAAGTTTTATTACAGCAAATCATAATAAAAAGTATATCATTTTCAGGTACAATTTTAAGTTTTTGATAAACACGCTAGGGAAATAAATTTGAATTGAAATCTCTTACTTAATCCTGCAAAGCCCTCAAAGGTTTTTAGTATACGCAGTACGAGTTTGTATGTGTTATACAATTAAACTCGAGCACTGAATCAGCCGTCGAATCTAATGGGATATCACTCCAGATACCCTAAACCAATGATCAAAGGTTCTCATTACCTTGCAGTAATTATAAGTAATTAAATTTGGGATAAGGAATAGCTGTTTCTAGTATCAGTATCTATTTCTAATGAGAATGACAATGAATATGCTAATATTTATAGATTTGCTTATTTTCTTTAAAAAAATCACAATTTTCTTTGAGAATTCAGTTAATCGCACATTTCTTAATTAAAATTTCTTTTAAAAAAACGTTAGAACAAATTTATATTTCTGTAAGTCGATGTTATTTGGAGAAATTGTTGCGAAATTTGAAGACATGTGAAACAATTGATTTCCTATCAATTACAACGCTAAATAAATAAATGATAAATAAAAAAAGTTCGTGATTGAAGAAGTTCGAAAAGATTTCGTTTTTCAGAAAATAAATGTCCGAAAAAAGTTTTGAGAACGGCTATAAAATAAAAACCATTCACACAGTTGAATTCAGCGAAATCCAAACCTTTCCCTCAAAGAAACTAGACCAAAAAATAAAAGTTTAGGTGTCTTGATTTTTCCAAATAAAAAATATAGATTTTAAGATGTTTTGGTCTGCGAGTCGGTGAAATGCTGAATCGGCACAAGGTCACTTACTAGGTCTGTCTACACTCGCAGGTTTGTTCGTTTATGTATGAATGTATTTCGGCATTGCGCCATTTCAATGAGGAATACGTTTGAAATAATTCAACAAACCCGAGAGTGGAGACAGACCCAGTGAGTAGTACTGTGTCGGTTCAGCGCGAAAAAAAAATATATAGGGCGGGGGACTGAAATTAAACTGAACCTACACAACTAATCGTATTGAGGTCCGATGGGTACACAATATTCTAACATCGGATCTTTCCCACATCACACGCTAACAAATACATTTACAACATATATTCGAGGTGTAAGCCACGTGACATACAGGAAACCGACAAATAAAGGTTATTTTTGATAGTTATTCAGATATCGTGAGATGCGGTCGGGTGTGATGTAGGTTTCAGAAAAACATTTTCTTTATCGTGCCAACGTTTCGATCTTTTATTGAGATCATCTTCAGGGCTCAGAGTGTTTGTCTTCTGTGTAATTGTGCCATCCTTGCGTGTCGTGCACCCTCAACACGACACGCAAGGATGGCACAATTACACAGAAGACAAACACTTTGAGCCCTGAAGATGATCTCAATAAAAGATCGAAACGTTGGCACGATAAAGAAAATGTTTTTCTGAAACCTACATCACACCCGACCGCATCTCACGATATCTGAATAACTATCGATTAACGGTCACTAATCTCTACACATTTTTACACACGTTATTTTTGATCTTGTATTCTGGGTAATCCGCTTGAATAAGAAACATAATAGATTTCCTGGTTGAGGTTTGAGAAACATGAATAATTTTCCAACTTGTGCATTCACCCAGTGTGTGAAATCTCGATTTAATACTTATTGGAGCAATAAATGACCAACTGCCTGATGTAGATAAAGGAGGATCCACATGGAGGATTCATTGGCTCGGACAATATAAGACAATAATATATTTAAATAATCTCAAGAATAAATTATTATATTGGGAAATATCAGTTATTTAATAAAATATGTACTGAAGAGATCAATGCTCAATGCCCTAAGAATTTAACTTTTTGAATGCTATTTGCGAAGAAAAAAATTATCGCATGTTTTTTGGGCTGGTTAAAGAGTGGTTGTTTATTGTTGGTATTAATTATTCAATAAAAGGGGATGGAATTAATTTGGCGTAATTAACTGAATTAATGTCAACCCCCAAGTTTGGCGATGTCAGTTTTCTGTTAAGGGCCGCTTTTTGCTTTGAGCGTGATTGAGTGTTTCAAAGGACCTCGGCATTTACAAACATTGTAATTAGCTTATGAAACGGGGCCGTGAGATGATTAAAGATGGCTGGACAGCCTCACCCCCGCCTCCAATTTTCTAAAGGTGCGCCCCCAGCATGTTTGCGGATTCAAAAGATGAAAAGACTATTGGGACACCGCACGGGAGGCATTTCCGTCTGCAATTATGTTGCACATGGAGTCAGTCCCCTTTAGTTAGACGACAAAATCAAATTAAACTTTTTTTGTTTTATTTCTAAATATAAGTTTTCATAGGAGATGTAAACATAATTACATTGCTTGTCATTTTATACTACATATAACATATAATAATATGAAATATACAAACATTCAACAGTTAACTAAATCATAAAGTTAGATGTGACCAATCTCTAATAATGACGTTATCATAACACGAAAACAAATAAAAACGATTTGTAATAAATCAGACGTAAAATGGTCGGTAGTAGAGTTCTGAGACCAGAAAAACAGTCTCTGTAAGATGTAAACAAGGAGAACAAGAAGTTGAAAACTTTGTAAGAAAATGGAAATTTGCCGGCTTGTTATTCTTTTATACCGTGAAAAAAATTATTGAATCGTTTGCAATGTGAAAAAATATCTGTGTGTACAGATGATTTAGCCTTCAATCAGAAAGTTTTGTTTTCCTCTGCTCCAGACCCCTGTGGAAAAGTTTGCCCATAGACTGCTGCCCGGTGCTAGTTAGCAAACGACTTCAGCATTGAATGGCTCCGAATCGTTCGGCTGATAAATTGCGTTTGAGTTACTTGTCGCTCGTTTGGCTCGCCATTCACCGAAATCGAACGTCGGTAAAGAGTTTAGTTCGAAACTCCTTTTCTCATTTCCACGCCTTGACCGCATGTCTCGAAAATTTCAGTACGTTTCCATGACAACCAAATTCTCACAATAACTAACACACTCAAAAATAATTCTCCGTCGTAGAATATGGAATGACAAATTTACACAATGCAACACGACAATGAAACTGACATGCCACAAGAAGATACAGACAGGAGGTTTAATCCTAATGAGTAAGAATTATATTATTACAATAATTTCTTGCTTTGATTTATGCATTTTTTCCATCTTACCTAACATATTTTCTATTAAGTCTTAAAATCGTTTCTTTCATCATCCTGGTCTACCTATACCCACGTTTCGTCATTCCATCATCCATTCTCTACATTCACACAACATATTTAATACGATAACGTCACTTAATATAAAATAGTACAAAACATATTTCTTCGAGTATCGACTTATTGACTTGCTAGGATCGCATCACTCATGAATGCAAACTTGAAACAAAATGACTAGCACTTAAGAACCTAACCGTGGTTTTTGTTCACTTGTATCATTTTAGTTCCGTTCTCGGTACTTAATAATAATAATGATGATCACTGACATGTTTTGTTTCAGAGAAGATATTGATTCAGACCCATCAGCCGACATATGTCGCATCTGTTATTGTGGTGGCGGAGATGAAGAACTGATGAGGCCATGCAAGTGTTCGGGCTCTCTCGCCTTCGTCCACCCGAGTTGCCTGGACTCTTGGATTGAAAACAGCGGTTCTCCCAAATGCGAAATATGCAATGCGAACTATCCTCTCACCGTTAATTACAAGTAAGTATGAAATGTCCGTTATTAAATTATTTTTTGATATTAATAACGTTGTGGTAGGTGGTGGTACATATGGAACGATATCTGGGTAAAATTCATCGTCCGACAGGAGCCCCTTTTCGTTTTCTTATCCGCAATGGTGAACATAATGTCATCTGTGATGTTCCGCCCGGTTTTCCTTGTTAACCAACTTCAACAGGTGAGATGTTTTATTTACAAAAAGGTGTGGATGTGTCCCTATTTGTGTCCCAATGTGAACCTTTACCTGAACTTACAGTTCATATTTATGGAATAAAACAACACAATATATCTTCAAAACTAAGTCGAGATGTCAAAACACAAAGAAATGTTTGATTATGCAAATCCAATTTTTCCCACTGGCCATGGAATTTTAAAAAAATATTCAAAATGTAGATATTTGTTTTATTTTTAGTTTAACAATTTTGCAAACCAATTAGCGCGAATTCTATGATAATATGAATAATAATTTCGTTTACACAACAAAAATATTTCAGCCGTACACAAATGATTAGACAAATAAAATTGGATTACTTTGGTGTGCCACGGGGTTGCGAATAAATATAGTCGTTTGATTTTCTTAAGAATATGAAATTACTAAAATTATGTGACTTTATCCTATCTTCTCGAAGAAGTTAGAAAATCAATTTTTGCGAAATTCTACTTTATGTGCAATTTACTGATTACCCAATTCTTGCTTTACATCTCACAACCGTAACCACAACTGTTAAACAGTGAGAATAATAAAATGCTATAATGTAAAAGCCTGCTACAGCTTTATTTTGTTTAATTGCTGACCTTGAAGCAGGTCGTTCAAAATTTTACAAATACAACAGATTTATTACGAAGATAAATGAGACAAATCAGAAAAAATGTATCTATGTGCAAATATAGAGCAGAGGGCATACAGGTCCAATTGGTCCTAATTGTCAAAAGGATACTCCATTGTATTCAATTTTTCTATTTTCAGGTGACTTCAACCCTTCACATTCTTATCCCATAATTCCATATACACATATGGAATATTAATCCTACTGTAAGTTAAATTACAATACTGAAAAGACCATTGAACACCCTATGAGATTTTTTATATTTTAACTTAAACAAACAAAATGCAAAATCTTTTAGAAGAGAAACTTTTACGAGTTTCGGAAGTGCTGGTCTAAAGTTTAAATAAGATTTTCCTTTTTGATCTGTACATACTGACAGATATGGCGCTTAAGAAAAATTGCTCCTAATACAGAAAAATTCAATTTTTAGCAATTGAACATAAATTTTACATTGGTGATAACTGATCTTTGAAAAATTGTGTACTTGTTTTTACAGCTCATTAGTAGGGACAACATTTCTGCATCATATTTGTCAGTATTTGCAGAACCACGAACATCTTACTTAAACTTTATACACTTTAGAACATCGACAATAGTTTATATTTTATGTGATTTTTATTTTTGTTTAATAAAGGTTGCAACAAAAAATATGAAAACAGAAGAAATGAACTTTATGGGGTTTCCAATGCCCTTCCCATTGGTGAAATCAAATTCACAGTAGAGTTAATAATTTATTAAATTCGAAGAACTTTATGGAATAAAGTTTTGAAAATATAAAGAAACATGAAAAGTTAAATTGAATTATGACGAGATGAACTTATGAAGTATTCTTGTTTGTACACTAGATACCCTGTATAAAAGAACACCCCCCTACTCTAATACCTACACTTAAGCCCATATGTGCATATAATATTATATTTAATTAATAATTAAGCTTAAAATAAAATAGAAATTTTATATGATAGATGTTTACTTTGTTGAAGGTATGGGAGGACTTTTTGATGTTGGTTTTGCTGATGTCATTCATCGTAATTTGCGCTGCGAGTGGAGTACTGTTCCGAAATATGCTTAGGTATGCTGTTTGGCGTTGGCAACTTTATTATCACCAACGATTAGCTGAAGAAAGAAGGGCAGTAGCAAACGATGACATACAGTGCGTCAGATGTACAGCAACTTCAGTAATAACTATTAAATTTCGCGCTTAACAAGCCTTCAAAAAAGGACATAAAAAGCCAATAAAGTGTTTTAAACCTTATTCTTGAATTTCAATAGATAAACGATGAGGTCTGGCATTAACGAGCCATGACAATAAGGCGAATGGACGAGACAGACGTCGGTAATGAATGGACGAGTGCATTGTTCAGAAACGTTTCCAGTTTTGCAATTCATCACTCGACTCCCTCCGCCCTTAACCTTATCCTTCATGTGATATATGGGACTTCACATTCAGCGCTGTTGTCACAAAAACAGGGATCATCCAACCCCCAAGAGTAAACGGGTTCCTTGTGAAAACGGTTAATTCTATCTCTTTAACTGTGGAAAACGGCAATTTGTCGAACATAAAGCGGAAAATTTGTTTAAAAGGCAAAATCGCCACGGGCAAAATAAATGTAGGTTCTAGAGGCAAGGATAGAGCGCCGGAAGGTTTAGTTTATTAGGTAGGAAAAAGGAAAAATGTCTTAGATTATTACTTTGTGAGAAGAAGGGAGGAGCCAATATCTTCTCCCTCACCAATCATATATAGGCTCCCCTTCTTGACTTTTTCATTACGATCACCGCCAACCCTGGTCATTTATATTTCCTTATCTGGGGCCGATAATTAATGTCATTTGTTACAGATTTAATATAAACTCCATTGAGGGACAAAAGGCTGGTAAGAATTCTCTTTGTATTTTACACACATTGTTGTTCCTGTTAAGACATTTCTGATCTATAAAGATCAAACATAAGCATTTCAGTATAATTTGAAACGTAATTGTCGTGTCCGATAAAAACCTTATTGCCCCATTTCTTTAGGTTTTTAATTGCATTTATCCAACCATTAATTAGTTTATTACGATAGAAAACATAATTATACAAACTAGCATAATTTTTATCCCTACAACACTGATAAAAGGCACTTGCAGTACAGTAGTAGAGTTCGGATCTCCTTAATTAGTTTAATTTTGGTTAAGGATTTTAAAGCGCAGGTGTGAGCCCCTTAATCAGACCTTTTCCGAGTATAGCGTAACCTGTGTAGCATAGTAGTAACCTTGAGTAAGGTTTGAATTCCATAAATCTCCAAAACGCATAGTGAAAAATAAATTAATAGATGGAGAAGTTCAGTTAAATACCTAACTAAATTCAAATCAAACTATCAAAGAAAACGAGAAACTGGATATTAATATCACAAAAACATTTTATTCCCCATCTCAAATAGATACTACAAACAGATAGTTATAATTATTAAAATTTATTTATAGAATTTGAGTCAGTTGCATCAAACACTAAGCATGCTATCTCTCCCAAGGTTGTAATATGTTATATTTCTCAAACAGTCGAGAAGGAACCAATGAAATTATCTTTGGTTCAGTACGGGCGATTTCCTGGGTAGCAGCTACGTATTTAAAACCTCGTATAGGGCGGGCAATGACGCGTATAAGGGTTGGGCGGGTGTCTTTTCCGTAAATAAATCCTAGACGGGGGGTCGTCGGACAATTCAATAGAATCCTTCCATAAGGACCCCACTCACATAATTGGACTCAATAATACTCCGTTTCTTCGTAATGGAAAGGCTTAATAAAGTTTTTAAAACATATTTATGGATAAACCTATTTTACCCCTATTGTCTTTTGAAAAATCGGTTAATTTAACCTGGTTAAAAACTGGATTTTAGTTGGAAAATGAAGTAATCAAAAACGTTATTTAAAAGGGGGGAAAGGTTTTCAGACAAAGAAATTGTTTGTTTTTTTAAGTGTTTTTTTCACATTAAGCTGCATTTTTACATAGAATGAAACTGGTCTCATGAGATTCAAGATTTAGAAGCACATTCATTTTTTGAAAATTGCTGAAAGAGCCACATTTATTATTAAATTTTTATGTAAGGTATTGGTTAAGATGAAAAAGTCAATGTCACGAGCGCGATTCGAACCCACGACCTTCGGCTAAATACGCCTCTGCTCTACCACTCCATGTCTCCGTGGCCATTTCATTTGTCGCCGAGAATCAAATAGATTACACGAAATTTGAAAAATGGCAAAAAGGAGGGACAATTCGAAAGGTTGGGTTGAGGTGGGAAGTTGGTGTCCGAATTGATCGAAGTCACGATAGCTCAAGTGGTAGAGCAGCGGCGTATTTAGCAGAAGGTCGTGGGTTCGAATCCCGCTCGTGACACTGACTTTTTCATCTCAAACAACACCTTACATAAAGATTAATTAATTGAAAAGATGTTATTTGGTCAATCGGACATCGAAATCTAATGGATTAAATATTAATATTCACATTAACAAATTAAGACTAATTGGACAACATCGCTTAGCTAACAAAAAATTTATTTTAACAATTTTTTTTAAATTTCAATTTAAATACAATGTGCTCTTAATGGACCTCTCAGGCCTCTAATGACGTATTACACTTTTTATTTACCTAACTGCCTTGTTGTGACTTCTTTGAGAATACAATGATTATCGAAATATCTTTTTCATTCTGACTAAGAAAACGTGCCTTTCAGTATTTATCTACACTTTTACCGGCATCAAAATTTTTCCAGCAGGCAACCAGACTGCAACCGTGATTGCATCGCATTGGCGACCTGTTAAACAAGGTTTGTCTCGTTGATGTGGCTACGGCTATTTCGACAGGAAATTGATGACCGAATCAATTATAGTCTTGTAACAAAGCCCACTGACGATAACCACGTTAGCCCTCATCAGACCTCTGTAAATCAATAAACCGCCGAGGTTTAATGTGTCGTGATCGCCTTGTGGGTGCATCATCTGACCACAAGGGAATCTTTTCGATTTGAGATGTTTCAACGATTCTCGTTTCACCTCGATTTCGGAACGTAAGCAAATTTCATTACTTTAAAGTATAGTTGAAAAATGGCTATAGTCGTATGCAACCTTTAAGGAAAATTACATTAAAAAATATTACTGATAATGAAAAGTAGCAAAAAAGAGGAAATCTGCCACTTCTGACTTTTGATATCTCCAAATTCCAAACATAAATATCAATAATAATGGAATGAGGCAAAAAGGTGTAAATCGAGCACGTTTTGATAAGGTTAAATAATATGTACATAGACTGCAATCTCGAAGAAAACATAGCGGCAATTTGGCTTTGGTTATAGAAAGATTAAAAAGTCCATTTATTGAAAAACTGCATGATGAAGAATAAAGAAATACATAGACAAAATTATATACAAAATTATATTATTGATAAATAAATATAAATATACATATACTCAACTTGTTTCTATAATTTTATTTCTAAACTGGGTTTTGGAGAAATTTTAATTCGAGAAACGAGTAGTAAAAACCGTGAGAATAAATAACATTAAAAATGAAAATCTGAAAACATAGGACCCAATTGGAAGTATAAAAAAGGGCGGAAAATACAGATTTTGTTGATAAATACAGAAATATACTTAATTTAATTTTAATTTTATTACTGAGAACCTGGGCAAATTAATACCAGGAAAAAATATGTTGTAACCAACTATGTCACCCTCCACTGTATGCTTTTAAAACAAAAAAAAATAAATTTTAAATATCTTACATAAGAAGAAAATTCCCTTCGTTACCTAAGATATAACCAGATATAATATAAAATGTTTTTTGTGTTTTGTTCTAGATTGGGTATTGTGGGAAAATTAAATAAAGTCAAAGTATTCTCCTTCCGAAAACTTGTAAATCTCAAATAGCATTATACATAGTATCTTGTTAATTAAGAACGTTTTCTCTGCTGGATAGCATTCTGATGAAGAAGGGAAACAACATTGGTCACGTTTTATCGTTACTATAACGTTGAGGCGGGTGATATCAGAAGAGTTATTGAACAATAGACCTTATTTTAGTTCCAAAGCTAAAAATCTTTTATTGGAAGAGGAGAAAGTTCGTATCAAATAACGACTCAATTTCTTATATTATTAAAATTAATTAAATCTACAAGATAAAAATACCCATTACGTTTCGTATTTCTCAGAAATAACCCTAGACCAAAGGATCAAACGGAGAAGTCATGTAGGGTACGTAAGGTAAAGGCACTACAATCATTGGTCAGAGATTATGAAGCAAAAACTGGGGAGGAAATCCAAAGATGACGTATTAGTTATTGCTGTAGTATAGTGGCCAACAACACTAAGGAGACATAAAACAAACTGTAAAGCCTACAAAGAAAGAATGTCTTAACATATAGGGGGCAATACAAACTTGTCACCCTTAAACATATGTGAACCAAAGGTGGCTTTCGAGCACGCCAGCAGACTCCTTAGATATAAAGAAATAAAACCAAATTTAAGTAGAAACCATAGCAATGAGATGGATATAACCAAATGAGGGCAACAAGTTCCTGACAAAATGAGAGGAAAGCCCAACTTTGATAAACCCTTCCAAGTGGTTATAAACAACAGAGATCTTTTGAAGAAAGGCAAATACAAGGATTCAGGAAGGGGCTCTAAGTTAGTAGTTAGTAGTACAATGATGGATCATAGATTTACAAGGGAAAAGGAGCTAAATATTAGTAAAACCCCTGGGGAGGGTTCCATCTATCTTAACTAGCTGAGGTCCATAGAATTCAGCTCTGTCCCTAGTAGTTAAAGAAGAAAATGAAATACGAACGAATTTACATACTTTCGGACAGTCAAGCAGCTATGAAGGCGCTAAACGCCTGTATCTTTAGCTCTAAACTAATCCTGAAATGACTAAATTGCCTAAATTGCCTCTAGGAAAACTCAACAACATTACATTAAGAAGGGTTCTGGGGCATGAAAGCGTAGAACAAAACGAATAGGCTGACATCTAGCTAAAGAAGGGGCAGCCTCTTCACCCATGGGACCGGAACCACAACTAGGTCAACGGTAAGGGTGCTACAGTTGGAGTTTGAAAAATGGTTTGAGGATCAAAAATCAAGCACTATACAAAATCACCAAATATGAGATTTATAAATCTCTTAAAAAGGAAGGAGCAATACTTTCCTCTCTCAGCAGTCAAGATTTGAGGAAAATTTTAGGCCGCTATTTCGGCCACTGCCCTCTTAACTATCACCAAACCATAGACA